TTTTTTTTTAATTTCGTTCATTCTCTTTTCTTGTGGCTCAATTTGGAGTTGCCGGAAATGAGCCCTTTGAAATAGAATTAGTTTGGCCATGGCTTTTTCTAAGAACTGACCTTCATCTTGCATTTATTTCTACTAGGCTGGTCTATAATTTTTTGTGTCTCTTTTGTGGCTTCAATCTAGTTTGTATAAATAAATTGACCCTATCTAGCTTTGGTTTATTTCCATTCTTAATTAACGAAGAGCTTTCTTTGGTTGATTTCATTTTGTTCATTTTTGGGCTTAATTTTGGATGTACCTTTTAATATAATTTATGCAATTCTGTGTCTCATTTAATTTGTAACTCTTGACTTTTTTTTGACCTTTTGTTTTTCAGTGTCCTTAAAGTACGTTTGTTTGTTTTTCAGTGTCCTTAAAGTACGTTTGTCTAAGAAACAAGTTAAATTAGGATGGAATTTGAACAAATGACAATTTATTATACATCTTTAAAGATTAGATAACGAATCCCTCTTTTCTCTACGTTATGACTGTAGTTGATATGAATAACAGGAATTAAAGTAGAAGGAATTTTGAGGCAGTCTGCAGATGTTGAAGAAGTGGAACGAAGGGTTCAAGAATATGAGCAAGGTTTGTTGCTTTAATATTGTAGTTGTGCTTAAAGACGTTAGTTTTTAGATGCTGCATGAATTCTTCACACTTCTTTTTCTTTTTTCTTTTGCTTTGGTCTATTTGATCAGATCTGAGATGCCAGTTTAGTAGTTTAGAGTTTAGACTTTGTTTATGGTAAATTATATATGTGATGATATTCTTCCGCATGCAGATTATATGATTCCATTTCACTTGTTTTAGGAAATCCAAACTAATATATCATTGTGCTAAATAATTAATAGTTAATTTTCACTACAATATTACCGACCTCATTCAAGGCAATGAACTCCTAGCCCTGGCTTTGAATTTCAAGGCAATTCAATCTTTGAATTTTGAGTTAATATTTTTCTAAAATTTGAATTTTCTATTTCTTCTCTTCTACCTAATTGAAAATGTAAAATTTACCACATCAGTGACCAATTTGAATGTTATTTGATCAAAGGCAAGACTGAATTTGACCCTGCTGAGGATGCTCATGTTATTGGTGACTGCATTAAGGTTTGTTTGTCAGCTGAATATTTATTTTTTCTGTTCTGCATTTTTCATTTCATGAAAGGACTTAAATCTGATGATTGAAGTTCATTCCCTTTCAGCATATTCTTCGGGAGCTACCTTCCTCGCCTGTCCCTGCATCATGTTGCACTGCCTTGTTGGAAGCCTTCAGTAAGTTCCTGCTATATCTTTTACCCACATGATTATTCGATTTCCATTAAGTTATTTCGTCCTTTTATGATGGTGTTTGATTACTTGTTCTTTTGTGACTGTATTTGAGTAGAAATCGACCGAAAGGAAGCCAAGGTGAATGCAATGCGCTCTGCCATACACGAAGCATTTCCAGAACCAAATAGACGCCTCCTGCAGAGGTACTATCTTATGTTTATGATAAGATACAAATCATATGTAGTAATTTTATCTTTTAAATTGAAAATATTAATTCCAGAACGCAATGTTTACCATCACGCAAATTCTTTTTTATTTCTGAAATTTGGAATTGAATCAGCTTTGTGGATGCGATGACTGTTTGAAAATTATGAAAATTATTGTCTGTTGTCTTAAAAATTGTTTCATTTTTATGATAAAATAAAAATGCTGTATTGAGATTTTCTGGTGTCTTTTTGGTGTCATCCCAGAACATATTGTAATTTGCAATGCCGTGTTTTTCTCTTTTCATTTTTTCCGTGTTCTTATGTATCTAGAGTTCTTAAAACGATGCATACGATTTCTTCTCATTCCTCTGAGAATCGTATGACCCCGTCGGCCGTTGCTGCTTGCATGGCTCCATTGCTGCTTCGTCCACTTTTAGCTGGTGAATGTGAATTAGAGGATGACTTTGACATCAATGGAGATCATTCGTCTCAGCTTCTTGCTGCTGCAAGTGCTGCTAATAGTGCCCAAGCAATTGTTACAACTCTACTTGAAGAGTATGACAATATTTTTGACGTAAGTTGGAATCTTATTGTATTTTTAACATTTTATATAATCATAATTATTATTATTTTCTAAATTCTTGGTACCTGAAAATTTGGAAGGTTACGGTATACCATGCAATGACAATACTTTCATATACCTGTTTTTGTTAAATTCCTTGTCTTGGCCAAGTCTGTATCACAACAATTGTTGGAAAAGTAAGTTTGTGGGAGTTAGATAGAAAATGGTTGGCATTCATGGATGAATTTGTTTATAGGAGTTAGATAGAACATGGTTGGCAGTCATGGCTGAATTTGTTTATAGCCATCGATATTCAAACTTTTGATGTTCTAGGATGTTGCAGCCTTAGTTGAGTGATGTTACTTGAGGTTTTCTTTGCCCAAATATTGCTTTGACAAAGAGTATGATTTATATATGTTGAACTGAAAATCTCGTAATAGTTTTTTTTTTTTTTTTT